AGAGTCGCAGAGTTGGCACACCGGCCCGAGGCAACCGCGTACGCTCCTCAGACAATGCAGCAGGCATTTCACATGTTCTGTACAACTAACTTGACGTATGGCGCAACAGGACGGTTTGTCAAGGTGATCTGAACATTAGAACGGTATTAGTGGTTGCAATTAGCTTTCAGGTCGGAGTACAAGCGACTCAACCTGTGTGCGTGGCATGAAAGTTGGTCAAGAAAGGCTGGCAGCCACAAAAGCACATTTGATGTCTTCTAACCGCGACATCCGTGTAAAATGTGTATGGTGTTCAGGCAACCGTTGATTAGTCCATGCATAGTCCAATGAGGCCCAGAAAGATTGGCTGCTAAACACAGGCGGACGAGATTCAGCATCACTCAGTTGGTTCTCTAATTAGGTACGAGCAATATCAGTAAAAATACTGCTCCACCGTCGTGGGTGATACAGGTGTGGTTTGTCCATCGGAACGCTTATATTCACCGGTGAAGGCGTGCAGTTGAAGCATCGTTCAGCAGGACCACCGGTCCGCGTTTGCCTCTAGGTCCCAGAGATAGTACGGTAAGAATGGTTCCGGTATTATTGGTGTTTCATGTGTCTGACCACTGAGATTTAAATGATACCACATAGAGGAGAGCTATCACAAACACGCTCAACAGATAAAGAAGTGCATAGTGTAGGAGGAAGACCCGCCTGATGACCCTAAGCATCAGATCGAAAAGTGTTCCATAACCCAATAAGAAGTTTAGTAAGTAATATGGAATAAAAATAGCATAAAACAATAAATCATTTGGTTACGATGCATCAAAAGTAACAACGAAGGTGAGGTGACAAACTAACCGTCAAGGCTTATATTCTGTGTATCAAATGGTTGGTCGAGTAAGGCTGACAGCGGTGAGCAAAAGCGTGATTGCCGTTTCGACTTAGGGAGCCGAAATATTATAAGCAAAAAGCAGTCATTCTAATCAAGGAATATTATCGACACATTTACAGTGAGGAGCACATAGAAAGGTAGCATTTGGTAATCTGAAAGGAAATCATTTCGGTTAGGTCGTGAGAAGTGAGCCAACTTCTGCGAAATAGAGGGGGGGGGGAAGGAGTGTAAAACACGAAAAATCTGACGAAAGGATGGTAAATGTTGTCCGCCGACAGACTCGGTGGGGAATAACGAAACGGAGAGGGAGAGGATATGGTGTAAAGCGAGGCGCATTCAGAACACAGCATTTTGAGAGGGGAATATGTGAAAGTGAAGTCAATCATAGCATTCCGTCGGGTAGATTGGCTATCTAGAAACTGAACTATCCGCGCAACCAAATATAATCAGGGCTGCGTGGGAAAAATGGAATAGGATAGCGCAAAAGATCGATAGGGGATGGAATATCCCGTGTGTTTGTGTGTGTGTCTATACGCAGCTGCAACACAGCCATGGGGTACATTGTGTATGTGTGCGTATTGGAAAGACTGTCTCGCGTAGATTAACTGCCAGTATTCGTTCCCCGTTCGGTGCGGTGACTATTCGGGTGATGGAGGCTTCGTCCATCGGCCAGCCACCGCAGCAGCAGCCGAAGAAACGGCGCTGGAAATCTGCGGTAAGGAAAGTATTGAAAAAGGTCATGATTTGCGCATAGATCAGAATGGGAAAGAAAGTATAATACCCTCAAGGTCACCTCGAGTGGAGGCGATGCACGTGACTAGCGTGAAGTTAACCAACTGGCAGAGCACAATACCCCTGAAATTTCGTCCATCGAAATCTGGAATTCGCAAAATCAGACATTTCGCCACAGCCCACAGAGATGCAAACCGAGCGTGCGCCAGATATGAATGGTTGCCTATATGAATACTGTGCACAACAACCGGTAACGAATGTGATAAAATGCAAACCCACAACAACAGGCGCGTGAGATGTATGGAATATACAACCTATCGGATGAGTAGAGATAATTTAAGGTCGACTGTGAGTTTGCAAAAGGATGAGCTGTGTCAAAAGCATGTGCTGGCTGATAGGAGAATCTCTCGCATGTCAAGCGCTCACCACGCGTTCCAATCCATCCACACAACGTGTGCTTAAAAATGACCCCTCCAGCAACCAGTATTAGTTAACGCTCAGAACAGTGATTTGTTAGGGATATCAGGCAAAAGTTGAAGAAAGTGGTGCACGTGATGAACATAAAGCAAGTCGCATTTGTTCGGGGTTGAGAAGGCGAAGTGTACAATTTATTTCAGGGAGCTGAAATGCGGGAGGATCCAGTACTCGTGACTCACATCGCCAAGAGAGCAATTCATGACAATGATGAGCAAACTGGAGAGGGCAGACTAAGAACAGAACAGACCAAGAACATCGAGAGGCGTCAATAGTAGTGCAGTGTTTTCGGGCGGGCAACACCCAATTTCTACTTGCCTCAGATACGGTCTTCGTGATCGAAAGACCAAGGTTCACTTCAATGGGAAACGCGGTCAACATTGAGATTGCGCTCCGAAATCCATCCACACAACGTGTACTTCAAAATGACCCACAACCTCGTTCATTATACCGTTGTGCCAAGCGTTGCCCGTGACCCGGTGGCTTAGGGGTAGCGGTCACAACTAACATCCCGGTGGTCCCGGGTTCGATGCCTGATAACTCTATCTGATGAGATGTAATAACATCGAAACGCGTCATAGTAGTGCAGTGTTTTCCTGCGGGCAACACCCAATTTCTACTTGCAAGAACAGAATACATATAAATTGAGCTAGGAAAGTGAGTAGAATTAGTTGGGATGGAGCAGCAGCAGGTAGACGCAAAGTGCGAGGTTGATCGCATAATGTCATGGTAGGGTCTCTTACCACTGAGGTGGCCCATTACGGGATATTCATCCAAGAAGATGACTAGTGACGGCTTAACCAAGTCTCCTGGCTGAGTTCCTCATGCTTTCATATCACGCCATCCATCGCCACTTCGTAGTTTTGCTTAGCGAATTGCGACGACCGCATATAATGCACACCGCGGAAGGCGAGTAACAAGCACGAGAAGGCTATGAGCTAGCAAATGTAGCGGTTCAAGCGTAGTAGGTAGTGGAGAGCACATTCATTTGGGAATTGTATTGCGGTGACCTATGGGGATCTGCTTCAGGCTTGTCAAACGCAACTATCGGGGATTTAGGATATTTTAGACATATATTGTTCGACTGCAGTGTACAACCACGGTTAACCGAAGACGGAGTTTGGCAGGATGCAGCAGCTTTGATCAAGGGCGCACAATAGGAAACCACTGAGTACAAGCGGTGCTCTCCTAGCGTCAGACAAAGCGCTTCAGGTCAATCGAGCTGCAAGCTCATTACCCTTAACTTGCTGTCTATCATAACTAAATAAATACTGGAAAGGAGAAAGAAAGAGGTAAGGAAGTGAATGGATACCTGAGAGACCACAGCGGAACCGAGGGCACCGAGATACTTCCCGTTGTCCAGCTGACCGGGGGAGAGTGAGATGTCGTCATCGTCGTCTTCATCAGCTGAACTTTCTTTCCGGCCTGGGGGGAGATATGCCCGAGGAATATCTCGAACGGATTCCATAGTAGAGTCCCAGACGTCCAAGAGGAGATCGGCTAACTGTCTCAGTCGTTGTTCCCTAGTCTGAAGCAAACTGGGTGACAAACCAGCTGCGAGGGATCTGCGATGGAAACAACATAGGCAAGCTTGTAAAGAGGAGAAATAATGAAGACAAGGACATACGAGACAACAAATGCCCAATGCCGAAGCAAATTGGACCCCGAAAGCGGTGTGTTGTCCCAGATGACCTTTGATTCGTCACTGATGTTAGTGCGCAGCGTTCAGTCTGGCACTTAGCGAACTATGAAAGAGATAATGAGTGAGAACAAACAAATAAAACTAGTCTGCCTTAAGCGACTGCTAACATTACTGTCGGGTGATGAGGCCAAATGCGGACTCATCAAACAACTGGGAATGAAATGCTATCGCCAATAGGCTATAAACCAAGAGGAAAAAGCTTCAGTGACATCGAAACTGAACGTACACAGCACCTGCACCACCTAGGATGAAGTATCAGTTGTGCTAGATGAAGCGTTGTCAAACCAAGTGTACGTGGATCACAGTTCCACTTGAATCGGACGCAGCTTCTATGCAAGCGTTACTGAGTACGTTGATGTACAGTGGTGCATGTTTCGGCTTGTGCACTGCACAGAGGAAAATACTGTATCAGAAATGGACCGACACACCATCGGTTTCCACGAGCATAGAAGGATCGACCGAAATGATTGATCACCTTAACTTATTTAGGTTGGCTGTTTAACCGGTTGCACCACCGATGAGATTATCACCGGAAAGCCGAGTGGTTTTCTCAGATGGAAATCTCGGGATCGGCCGCAGTCGTGAGGTCACTGGCGTACTTGAACTCGTTCGCTGATTTCTGGACCATAACCACTTTGTCTGATAAACATGTCTTTCCTCATTCGCCTTACACCATTATTATTATTATTCCATTATTATATTGGCATCGTGTTTCACAGTAACTGGATTCACCGCACCACGGTGCATGAAGCGCAGTTGAGAAGCTTAAATGCAAGCAGGGCAAGGATGTCTCACACCAGTGTGTAGACCGCGTGGCACAGGGCCTACCAATACGGAAGAAGACGTGAAGAAGATGCAGAACTGATGATGTGACAGACGATGGCATGAAGAGAAAGAATGCCGAATAGGAATTGAGTCGATGCGTATTCACCCATGCCACATCAATGGCGAGAGACAGCTGTGTCGCAAAGTGAGATGGTGCTTTCGTCTTCGATCGCTTGCGTCTACATATAGACATTTCAACCTGACGACAATAGTGTGCCTCTTACGACCTCTAGTCCATGGTGATTTCGCATAACTTGTGCAATTTTTTCTCATCGCCTTATTTTTGTCGCTAAGCGGGATGAGTGGGGTAAAGAAACTGACAAAACGAACGCCACTGAGATCGACTCTTCGCAACGCCAACTAGTCTATCCAAACAAATGTGTGCATCATCCTTCGGATGCCAACCAGGAAGTTGAGAAGCTGCAACCGAGATCAACATCGAAGTGAGGGCATTTATTTTTGTTGAGTAAGTTATCGGTTAGCCTCTCCCATCCTCTTCTAACCACATCCCGAACGTGCAAACAAAGCAGACCACGGCAGTCGCCGCGCTAACATACGTGACAAATATCCCGGTGCGTGAAATGACGGTGGTGAGCGGATCACTTCCTCATCCTGTGCCATAAACAAGGCACCGAACACGCTTACACCTCATGTGATGTTCTTACTAGATATGAGGTGAAGTTCGAAGTCACCAATGGTTGAAGGCAACAAGCCTCTTTATGTCTGCCGACCTAATGGGTCAGGTTTCGTAGCCGCAAAGGGACGGCAGCATTGCAGACTCTACCGTTCACAGCAAGTGTGATGCCGCGCCGGTGCCAGCGTTGGCGAAGACTACCAGAAGCGCGTACAGCTTTTGCTAAACAAGCTGTGACCTTGAGTCCAATTCCGCAGGCGGTGATACAGCTGCTTACCGTCGCAATGAGAATGAATCTTGACGTGGTGTGACGGTTTGTGTACCTCGTCAACCCACTGAGCCGTAGTTGGTGGGGTCATCGGGACCCTTCAGAGCTGCTCCTGTCAGGTTGGTCAACAGTTAGAGGTCAGACAAACAGTCCTCTGGTCCTCCAAGTTGGGGATTTTAAATGCGATGGCATTTATATATGTAAAACCGAATCATTGCTATCTGCCCAGTGTCTTGCGGACAGCCTTTCGATCCAAATTCTTGGTGAGGATCCCAATCGTCCTCCAGGCTAGGTCTGCGGGTCCTGATCGTATCTCAGCCCACGTACAACTATGACTAATTCTACAAACTGCAAGCCCATGTTGAATCGGCAGCCGCGCAGCTTATAAAGGGTAGTCTTACCTGCTACAGAGCAGATAAGCGAAAACACGCTACTGTGGCGTCTTCCTTCTTTTTCACCCGTACCTCTTACTCCCCACCCAACCCTATTACCAGCCTTCCTTCTATAATTCTCAGCCTAATTGACAACAGCCGTAATGCCACTGCAGTTCTAGCAGCCACAGCTACTTTTCTGCACCAAACACCGGACGCCAATCGCCAACAACTCATTGGAAGGTCACGCTGTCCCGTTGCCCTGATGGCGCTCAAGGTTCGCACTCTAATACAGATAGGTCAACAGGTTGCACTCGCACTACGTTAGACGCACTGGGCATTAAGGTGTGTTGCATATCCGTCCCTTATGGCGTTGTTGAGTTAACTGCGTCCGGCTTATCCTCTCGTATGGTTGCACGCATCCGGGGACGCTGATGCGAGGACCACTGGTCAAGCTAGGGTGGGCAGAGTTCACAGCTTCAAGGCTGAGTCATCGTTAATTGATTGGATTCCCGTGAATAGCCGTTCGCGTGCAGTCCCTTAGACGACATCGACCAAACTTGATTCACGAAGCAGTACTAGATGCTATTTGTTATTGGTTTACGCTTATGACCCCACCGACTGCAGTTTTGATGTTGCCAAGGACGCCTTCTACCAGGAAGCGAAGACACTACTACGCAGTGTCACAAGTTCATATATCGTTGTTGTTGCAGGGGATTCGTATGTGCAAGTAGGTCGTCTGACCTCACTAGAAGCTCAGATAGGCGTTAAGTAGGGAACTGACTTCGACCGGACCAACAACGGCGAGCGTCTGTTAAATCTTTGTGCGGAGCATCCGCTGTTTCCTAGTAGCAACGCTTCCAAGAACAGTGGGCACCGGAGTGCTACTTGGCATCCCTCTATGGCTGGTCAGCAATGGACCCAAATTGATCACGCTACCATAGGTTACAGATGGCGTAGTTCCATACTGGACTGTCGCTCGTTCTGTAATACCTGCGTCCACGATGAAGATGCTGTCTTGCCAATTGGGTGGTTCGGGTTTCTCCCGTTCCAGCTAACGGTTCGGAGGCGGTGTTCCAGGACGTGATGGGTTTTCGCCTGGCAAGCGTTCTCCCTATAAAAAACCACATATATCCGTTTATCAACACTGTGACGTGGCGGATGTGACTCGCCACTAAATAAAGTCACTGCCCCTTGCTTCATCCTGGCAAAGCATTGTATTCCAACAACTTTATGCTGTAATTCTGGGGAGCATTGGGCCCTGTTTGACAAACGAACAAACGAAAGGCGTATGAACTGAGCAGTCAGTCACCGGCTCCCAATGGGCGCGATTCCCTGAATTCGCTCCGCTGCCTTGCGGACAGGCGATTCAGCCAAAGGCTCGGGGCGGTGTCCCCTAAGTCAACACCATACTTTGGCTTGAGCAACCGGGTGGTATCTCGGCCTCTGACGAAACGATGGACTCCGATGTGTTGTGCTTTCTTTTACGATTTCTGTACCTTCTTTTTAGTCCCATGGTTTCGGATGGCTCTATGTCTATTCGTAGGCGGTTGCAATATATATATATATATATATATATATATATATATATATATATATATATATATATATATATATATATATATATATATATATAATGAACATACACATACTTTGGTACTACGTCATTTTACATGTACTTTATCGGCAGGCGTACCAAGCGCCAATTCGATTGGCAACTGGGACGTTATCTTAGTCCTCAGTCAAATAAACCTACCAGGATTCCCTGTGTACCGAACTTTCGCTCTCTCGTCCTAATGAGAATGAGCTACGGTGGAATAGGATCTCGACCACGGTACAGAATGCAGGAGCCTCAGCTTGCGGAACTATCAATCGTCACCGCAATAGTCATTGGATATCTGAGAGGTCGGTGAACCTGTTGGAATCTAGAAGAAACCTCCCGGCTGGCTCTGAGCACAATGTGACCAGACGGATTAATAGGCGCGAAATGAAGCGGGGCTTGCGTGCTAAAAAGGAAGCGTGATGGACCACTCGAGCTCAAGGAGTGGAGGAAGCAGATGCAGTAGGCAATGGTCGCAAGTTCTTCCAACTGATTCGCACCATTACTCACAGAAGAGCAGGCATCAGTGAGACAATGAGAGACAGTGCGGGTGCCATGATTCCCAGTAAGGAGCGCCCTATGGCTCGTTGGGCGGAGAACTTTTGAGATCAGTTCAATTAGTCCCCTGCCCCTGGACCTCTTCCTACTCAGGTATTGCAGTCCGAATCGTGATCGCTTAGTTTAGATGCTCCACCGGAGGCTGAGGTCCAAAACGCGATCACGGCCCTTAAACGATTTCGTGATCCTGCCCGAATTACCTCCCAGTCACACGATTAAAGGGTGGTGGTGTGGTCCCTACAAAGCACCGACAACTGGAAGGAAGAGATTGTCCCAGCTCACTGAAGTGAATCAACCATAGTGACAGTATGAGAGAAGGGCAGCCGCAACTGCACTAACCACAGGGGTATTGCCCAACGCCGATACTGTCAAAATTACTGGTCACGATTCTAGTTCGTCGGCGTCTTTGCGGAACGGGAATACCGGACTAGGGTGCAGCAAGAAGGCTTCGACGAAGACTGGAGTGTATAAATCACATTCACTCTGCGACAAGTGCCAGAACAGCGCCACGCATGCCGCAGACCGACAATAGCCGTGCTCCTCGACTTCAAGAGTGCGCTCGATTCAGCCGATCGACCCAGATTTTCGAGATACTTGCTCGGAAAGG